GGGGGGGGGGTCTTGGTATACGTCGCTTTTCTGATGTCTTCACTACATTCTCTTATAAGATCTGGTGGCGCTTTAGGGAGGGTAGGTCACTTTAGGGCCAACACCTTTGTCGGAAGTACTGTCCTGGAGGAGCTGCCCACCCCCTGTAGGGTGACGGCCACTGCCCGCGATAACAGATAGTGGAGGCGCCTCACCATGGTTGGTAGATGTGTTCAGAAGCACATATTTTGGACTCTGGGTGAGGGGGACATTAGTTTTTGGGATGAGTGGTGGTTTGGTGAGGGTCCCATTTCGAGATCTAGATAGGTTACCCACTTTTCCTTTCTGTAGGTGTAGGACCTGTGGACAGAGGGGGATAAGATAGGGACAAGCTAGAGAGGATTGTGGGTACTGTAGTGGGCCTTTGATCAAGTGATAGATGAGATCCAGCAGATTTCCATCTCGGAGGACGGTTTAGACGGTATGAGGTGGAGACTTACATCTTCGGGTGTATTCTCTACGACCTCGACTTGGGGGGAAGTACGACTGGATGACCGGCCTAGCCTTCTCTTCGGGGCCATATGGACCGACCTACTTACCCCTACCATCTCTAGTTTTCTATGGCGCCTCCTTTTGCACCGCCTACCGATTGATAAGCCGACAATTTTCAGACAGAGACCGTCATCCATTTGTTTTCAGAGAGCGAGACTGTGAGGAGAGTGTGAGAGAATTATAACAGTTACACTCATATCCCCCTACCCTCCACAGTTACTTTCTTTGAGCCTTTGAGTTTCAGACGCAACACACATATTAGACACGTGGGCTTCCTTATTCCTTGTTTGATCCATTGGGCCACCTGGACAGAAAGGAATAATGTGAAGCATAGGGATAACCCTTTTTTGTGTTCCATATTATTTTGTAGGTTGACCGACATCTCTCCCTCCTTACCGCTTTGGGCAGACTCACCCAGAGAGATTGGACACGCTGCACGCCACCTCACCGTCTTGCACCACCTCCGCTGGCATTTGTCCAGCATCCACGTCCCAGAGTTGTTGTTTGACTAAAACCCGAGTCGCCTTGGGTTAAGCTAAACACTGATGCAGCCTTTGACCGACTTACTGGAGTGCAGGAGGTGTGGGTCTGATTAGGGATCATAGCTGCGCCATTATTATCGCTTTTCATGCCTCTCTTCAGGCCACCTCGAGCTATGACGCGGAGGTTCAGGCGCTTCATATTAGCCTTCAGATTGACGCTTCGATCTCATCTCACATTTGGATAGAGTTGGACATTGCCGCTGTCATCACTCTCTTGTCATCTGGCCATCAGAGCACATGGAAAATTCAGCACCCTCTCATGCGTATAAAAGCCACTCTTCGGTCGATTCGCTTTTGAATCTCGCACATCTTCCGCGAGGGGAGTCGACCTGCTTACTTCCTTGCTGGCATCGGGTCCTGCACCCCCCAGAGACGCATTCTTTACCCTGACGACATTTCTCTCCGCCTCCGCATCCTCATACAGATGGACCAGATGGGAAACCCTTCATTCAAATTTGTGTCGTCGGTCTTACCGTTTGGCGCATCTGCCAAACTGTGATGCTAACGTTTTTGCCGGGACTCTCCCTGCACCAGGATCTGTTATGTTTCTATTTCTCGCTCCAGTTGTCAGTTTTTTCTTGTATATTTTCTTACTTTTGTTTTTTGTTTTTCGTGTGCGTTGATGTATATCAGACATTGGACTTGCAGTCTTGTGACTTTTCAGCCCATTTAGGGCCTTTTATACACAGGTTGGGGGTTCAGCCTTAACCCCACCCTCCTGGGTAGGGCTGTTCAATCGGTCGAAACCGAACCGACCGAAATTTCGGTTACCGAAATTTCGGTCTACCTAACCTTCAAACCGAAAACCAAACTGAATTTTATGGTTCGGTTCGGTTTTTAACCGAAACTTTATCGGTTGGATCGGTTCGATTATCGGTTATCCGAAAAATTGGAGAAATGACCCAAAAAAAAATCTTTAGTTACAATTTCACCAAATCACAGCTCTAATTTTAGCAAACCTCGTCCAATTAATAGAAAAAAATAAAATAAAATATTCAAGAGGTAAAAGACAAAAGAGGTAAATTGATTTTGGCTTGAGTGCTTGAATTGATTCAATTGAGTGTAACCCGAAGGAGAGGATTTGGGTGTCAATCTTATTTGAGAAAACGAGGTTCGTCGAGTGCCGACTGGAGTTTATGCGGGAGCCCGACGGTGATTTGGAGTTCCAGAGCACAGTGCCCGACAATAGGAGAATTGAAGTGCGCAATTGCGTGCGGCCGACGGCGGAGATGATGTTAGAGTTTACTAGATTTCAACTTTTCTTTTAGATATCAAATCTCTAGCCTGGACTTTGGAGAAGAGAGATACAATAGACATATAAGATGAGGAGAGGAGATGATGATGACGACTGCGACGAGGAGAAAAAAGAATGGGGTTATATTTTCTATATAAATAACTGGTAATATATGAAAGGATTGAGTTGGGCCTGATATTTTTTTTTGAATAGTTTTTATTTATAATGAGCCTAATAAGTAAAAATATGGGCTTCAGTAACATATGGCTAATGGCTGATATAACTTATTTTTATAGTATCGGTTTTCGGTTCGGTTCGGTTAACCAAGCATTTATATCCAAACCGAACCGAAAACCGAAATTTTATCAAAATACAAACCGAAAACCGAACCAAAATTTTGGTTTCGGTTTCGGTCGGTTAACCAATTTTTGTGCACCCCTACTCCTGGGGTGTTGTTTGTTAAAAAAAATGTTGTAACACTTTGACCCGGTCTTTGTATATTTTTTATTTTCTGTAAATATTTTTTTATATAAAAAATAAAAACTATATAAATATATTGATATAATAAATATTTTATTGTAAGAAATAATTATTTTAACACTTTGATGTACAAATTCTATGTGCAAAATATTTATTTTTGTTACTTTTATGTATATTTATATGCCAAAAATACTATATATATAATTTAAAATAATTTAAAATTAATTATCAGCAATTGACCGGTAACCCGACTGTTGAACCGGTAATCCACTGACCAGAAGACCTGCCCGGGTCGATTTCCGGGCCAAGTTTAAAAACTATTATTAAAAGACAAATATCGAGCCCCAATTATTATTCAAAGAAAAAAAAAAATAAAATAAACTGCTACATTAAATACCAGTGACAAAACCGTATTCAACATGCAAATTCAATCGCATACAATCTTTTGGTTATAGGGTTTTGAAGTGATGATGGCCGCGCGTGGTGAGTTTTTCTTATCAGAGCCAATAATCCATCACATACAATCTTTTCTGAATGAAAAAGAAGCTGCCCAAACAACCGTCCTGTCTAAATCTTGGCGCCAAGCCTGGCTCACTCGCCCCAACTTGGACTTCGATAGGTCCCACTTTTCCTTTGCTTATGAATTCTCAGACTTTATGGACAAGTCTATTCAAAGGTATGAAGAATCGAACCTAGAGATTGAGAGTTTCAGTCTAACAATGGATTCTTTGAATGATTTACGTGAAGATGTGATTAAGGCACTGGGAATGGGTGTTACTCGTCTTAGCCTTAAACTTCATGAATCGTATGCATCTTACTGTTCTGTTGTGCCGGCTGAGGTGTTTGGATGCAAAGACCTTAGTAGGGGCAAAATCGCCCTTCCTCCCGAGCATCTAGTACAATTTCCGAGACTCAAAGCCCTTAGTTTAACCTACGTCAAGCTACAAAGTGATGAAGAAAGCGATGAAGTGATTTCTGGCTGCTGCCCCTTGCTCGAAAAACTGTCACTCACATTATTGCCAAAACTAAGGCATCTGGAGCTGACGTGTCTGACAATTAATACCTTGCTTCTGGGTGACTTATCTTGTAAGTTTCCTTTGCTGAGAGATTTATCCATGCAGTGTGACTATTTGGAATCAGATCTATTCATTTCTAGCCACTCAATCGAGCATTTAGATATCGAAACATATTTGATCACTGACACAGTAAGTCTCGAGTTTGATGTTCCAAGTATTCGTAAGTTTAAGTTTAAAAGCGGGGACAATCTGCCATCTTCCATGTCTTTTAAATCAACAAATTTGAGGGAATGGGAGTCTCATGTAACCATGAGTGGTTTTTATCCCTATACTTCGATGTTTCTTGCGCTGAGAAACTTCTTGACACAACTGAGCCCATCCAAACTTTATCTTACTATCATAGTCGACCATGTGGACAAGGCTGACTACGAGATGGAGGACTTACTAGGTTTACCCTGCACACTCCAACTCGAGAATTTGATGATAGAGACCAAATATCTAGTGTCTTTAGCCGGTTATGCTCTTTTTGATGGCTTGTTTCGGTTATGCCGCCCAAAGTGCATAACTCAACATCTACTTTCTGAACGGAGATATGGCAATGAGGGTTGTGTAACCGATGATTTCCTTTGCAAGATACTCGAGCGAGGAATGAAGGGACACTATTTGTACCCATCTAATTTTTTGCATGGTCTGCATGGTCTCGAGGAGGCTTACGTGCAGGCTCCTGTTGACGAGGCTGTTGGTGCGTGGAGACTTGTGACAGGGGATTTGTGCTCGGATATTTCTGCTCTTGCAAGCCAGGAGAGGCACGGGAAGAAAATTCGATTCTTATTGAAATGGAAGGAGCCTTAGATTAATATGTATGTAAGCATGTTTTGATGATTTTGCCTTGTTACCCTTCTGTTGATTTTCGTGTTTTTCTTCTTTCTAGTGCCATTAACTGTTGGGTTAATGAGATCAATAGCCTATAGGGGTGATGGTATGATTGTTCATTACTCTTTCCGCATTTCTAAAGTTTGGTTTATAATGGTTTCATAAGTTACTTCATATATTAGACATATAGAATATGATTCAAGTCATCATATCTTAATACTAATTTGGCATTTGTCTCATGATATGTAATGTATATTATACCTAAATGAATGTCAAACCAATAAATGATTTTTGGATGTTAAATACTATTGGATTAGTTGCTTGCACTGCGTTGTGTGATGAATTTTGGTAATTAAAGTGTACTTGTTTTGATGACATTGAGTGCTCGACTAAAGGAGTTCATATTGTGGTAATTGTTTCCTAGAAGAATATTGATTTTATTTTTCGGTAAGGCCCCGCATGACAAACCCACACCGCAACACCACGGCTGCCTCTGTTGTGTCCGTCACTCCATCTCTGTTAAGGCCCTCATCAATAAATTACTCGATTTTATGCCACATTTGTTTTATCAGTTAAGCTGGACCTGATTTTACACCCTCTGACTCTGTTAAGTGTTAAGTTGTGTAAAGACTTGGTTTTGTATTGGTTTATTAATAGTTTAAGGCTACTCTTATTAGTATTGGTTATGTGATGTGTATTTTAATTTCAATTTTGGTATGCCTGAAGAGATATATAGGGAAGTTCATCAGTTGGCCTGTTTTGGCATTGACATTCAGTTCATACTTACATAGGATGTGGTGGGGCGGGCCGACCTGCCCTGGAGCGAGCCGGGTCCGTAACTACTCGGCCCGACTTGGCCAAGTGTCGTCCCTACTCGTAACATAAAATTCACTGTTTAGTCCATTTCTAATGCCGCTCTAGTATGTATGGAGTTGTGCAAAACACTTGGTTAAATGTTATGCTATATTTTTGCACTACAATTTTCTCTCAATTTTTTATGTACTTCTTAACTGGTTTTATTTATATCTAGTTGGCAAAAAATACACTAATAAATTCATTGATTTTGTTGAATAAGTTTTAATTTTGATTTTGTATCAGTAATCTCAACCATTAACAACTTGTTCAAAGTGGTGCTGCAAGATGATGATAATCTTCCAATTCCAAACTTGTCTTGCAACTGCGACCTTTTTATTAAGATTGCCAATTATCGTGTTGTAGCGACTTGTGCCAATTAAGAAATTGGTGTCGTGCTTAACAATAAGTGTTGAGTCAAAATGGGTTGTTGTGCCCACTCAATTTGACAATCAGCCAAAGAAGAAAAACAATAAAAAAGTTCAGCAGCCCATATGTTTTTGCACCAGCAGTCATGTGTGGAAAATTTGCAGCACACAATTGGAGAAAAATCGTGTGCAACTATATTGGACAAATTGGTGCAATCATCACTATAAATAGAGGAGTGATTTGATGAATGGAACCACAACAAAATACAGAAACACAAGAGAGAAAGAAAGAAAAAGAGAGGGAACGCGGAGCAAAAGTTTTAGCTTCTGTGTGTATTTGTGTTGTGAGTTGTGAGTGAGTTTGCGAGTGTTTTGTAAACACGAGTGTTTTCTTTTCTCCTAATAAAATATCTGCAGTAGTCCGGAGACGTAGGCATTATTGGCCGAACTCCGTTATCAATTTGGTGTGTCCAATTTTTTATTTTATTTCACTTTTATAGATCCGACTTCATGGAAATTTCAGCGTATTTTTCCCAACAACTGGTATCAGAGCCAGGTTGTTAATTCTGTAAATTTTTTTGTGTGGGTTACTATTCCGTGAATAGTGAAAAACAGGAATAGTGTCAAATTTGTCGGCGCTACAAATTTATCTACCGACGTGTTTTGAAACGGGGTAGTTCACAAAAATTACAGAAACGATCCGGCAGAGAAGTCAGATCAGAGTCGAAGTGATGGCTGCAGACGAAGGAAAAATGAAAATTGAAAAGTTCGATGGTGCGGACTTTGGCTTCTGGAAGATGCAGATCGAGGATTATCTGTACCAGAAGAATATGTATCAACCACTCACGGGAAAGAAGCCAGAGGACATGAAGGAGGAAGAATGGAGTCTCCTTGACAAACAAGCCCTTGGAGCCATTCGGCTGACGTTATCCCGTAATGTTGCTTTTAACATTGCGAAAGAAAAGACGACAGCAGGTCTCATGAAGGCTCTTTCCAACATGTACGAGAAACCATCAGCCTCAAACAAAGTTCATTTGATGAGGCGATTATTCAACCTACGGATGACCGAAGGTGCTCCGGTGGCACGACATCTCAATGAGCTCAACACAGTTACAACCCAGTTGAGTTCAGTTGAGATCGAGTTCGATGATGAAGTACGGGCTTTAATACTTTTGTCTTTCCTACCAGAAAGCTGGAATGCTACAGTCACAACTGTGAGTAGCTCATCGGGAAGCAATAAGTTGAGATTTGATGATGTCCAAAATTTGGTTCTCAGTGAAGAGATCCGGCGGAGGGAGTCGGGTGAACCATCAACCTCTTCTGTATTGCATACAAAGTCGAGAGGAAGAAGTTCAACCAAAGAAAGCAGACATATCAAATCAAAGGGAAGAAGATCCAGGTCCAGAAATCATCGTAGTTCCCAAAACTCGAAGTCGATCGAGTGCTGGAACTGTGGGAAGACCGGGCACTACAAAAATTAGTGCAAGAGTGCACCGAAGGGTCAGGAGACAAAAGAAGAGGCAAATATTGCTTCAGTCTCAGATGGAGACACGCTGATATGTTCTTTGGAGAACAGAGAAGAGTCTTGGGTGTTAGACTCTGGAGCATCCTTTCATGCTACCTCACAAAAGGAACTATTCGAAAATTATGTTCCTGGAAATCTTGGTAAAGTTTACCTTGGTAATGAGCAATCTTGTGAGGTTGTAGGGAAATGTGCAGTAAAAATCAAGTTGAGCGGGTCTATATGGGAATTGAAAAATGTTAGACATATTCCCGACCTGACGAAGAATTTAATCTCCGTGGGCCAGCTAGCCAGTGAAGGCTACACGACAATCTTCCATGGTGATGATTGGAAGATTTCAAAGGGTGCGATGACAATTGCTCGAGGCAAAAAGAGTGGTACTCTTTGCAAGACCAAAGGAGCATGTCATTTGATTGCAGTTGCAACAAATGAAAGTCCCAATCTATGGCACCAAAGACTTGGGCATATGAGTGAAAAAGGGATGAAGATCATTCACTCAAAAGGAAAATTACCAGGCCTCCAGTCAATAGAAATTGACATGTGTGAAGGTTGTATACTTGGAAAGCAGAAGAGAGTCAGCTTTCAGACAAGTAGAAGAACCCCAAAGAAGGAGAAACTTGAGCTTGTCCACTCTGATGTTTGGGGTCCAACGACTGTCCCATCCGTTGGTGGGAAGCAATACTTCGTGACTTTTATCGATGATCACTCCAGAAAGGTATGGGTTTACTTTCTAAAACACAAGTCAGAAGTATTTGAAGCTTTCAAGATTTGGAAAGCTATGGTGGAAAATGAGACAGGCTTGAAGATCAAGAAGCTCAGATCCGACAATTGGTGGTGAATACGTAACCACCAGATTCAAGAAGTTTTGCTATGAGCACGGGATCAGAATGGAGAGAACCGTGCCTGGTACGCCTCAACACAATGGTGTAGCTGAGCGTATGAATCGAACGTTGACTGAAAGAGCCAGAAGCTTGCGTGTGCAGTCAGGCCTACCAAAGCAGTTCTGGGCAGAAGCAGTCAACACAACAACTTACTTGATCAACCGAAGTCCATCGGTACCATTGGATCACAAGTTACCAGAAGAGGTATGGAGCGGAAAAGAAGTAAAACTCTCGCATCTTAGAGTTTTTGGGTGTGTAGCATATGTGCACATCAGTGATCAAGGTAGAAACAAACTTGATCCAAAATCAAAGAAATGTACTTTCCTTGGCTATGGTGAAGATGAGTTTGGCTACCGTCTATGGGATGATGAAACCAAAAAGATGATCCGCAGCAGAGATGTCATCTTTAATGAAAGAGTGATGTACAAGGACCGGCATAACACAAGTGCCAGCAACTCAGAAGCGAGTGGGCCAGTTTATGCAGAGGTGGAAGATATCCCAGACATTCCTGTAATAAGGAATCCTCGATCAGAGGAATCAAATGAAGAAAGCAGTGAGCAATCAGAACCTTCTACTCCAACTCCTGTATTGAGAAGGTCCTCTCGGCCCCATGTACCTAACAGAAGATACATGGACTACATGTTGTTGACCGATGGAGGAGAACCTGAAGACTATTGGGAGGCTTGTCAAACCCCGGATGCTAGCAAGTGGGAGCTTGCCATGAAGGACGAGATGAAGTCCTTGATCTCAAATCAGACATGGGAGCTAGTCAAGTTACCCATGGGAAAGAAAGCACTTCACAACAAATGGGTGTATCAGGTGAAGGAAGACCATGATGGTTCCAGGAGATACAAAGCCCGACTGGTTGTCAAAGGATTTCAGCAGAAAGAAGGAGTTGACTATACTGAAATCTTTGCTCCAGTTGTAAAGCTCAATACTATCAGAACTGTGTTAAGTATTGTGGCTAGTGAAGAGCTCTACCTAGAGCAATTAGACGTGAAGACTGCATTTCTTCACGGAGACCTAGATGAGGAGATCTATATGCACCAGCCTGAAGGTTTTTCAGACGGAAAGAATGATATGGTATGCAGATTGAAGAAGAGCTTGTACGGCCTAAAACAAGCTCCAAGACAGTGGTATAGGAAGTTTGAGAGCTTCATGCACAAGGAAGGTTTCCAGAAGTGCAATGCTGATCACTGTTGTTTCTTCAAGAAATATGGGTCCAGCTATATCATATTGCTACTTTATGTCGATGACATGTTAGTAGCAGAATCAAATATGAAAGACATCAGAAATTTGAAGATGCAGTTGTCAAAAGAATTTGACATGAAGGACTTAGGCCCAGCGAAGAAGATT